CTAACCCTAGCCGGGGTCGTCCGATGGGGGACTAGCACTAGCCCAAAAGGGCCTTTGCCCTTTTGCGACAGAGAAAAAATGCCGCCGAGGACTCCTGAGGTTCGTGGGAGGCGGGAGCCGGGACGGGGAGATAGACCTCGGATCCTCGCTCTCCTGTCGTCCAGCGGACGTGGAGACGCGAGGGTCGCCCCCCTAGCTAGCCCCACTTCCTTGTGATCAACTTGTGTGTGTGGAGAAGTTTACTTTACCTTACCTTACCTTACCCAGAGACGCTGGCCTGCGCTCTCGGGAGGCTTGCGCTAGAGTCCTGAGCCGCCTTGCTTACATGGGCGTGCCGTGCAGGATACACGCCCCACGGACAGCCACCGCCCCGACAGCCGCCAATGCCGCAGCCACACCGCCGCGCCGCCGCCGCCGCCGCACCTGACGCCGCCCGCTCATCGCTTGCTCCGCTTCTTCCCCCGCCCTCCCGCCGTCTTGCCGCGCGGCCTGCCCGCCTGGGGCGTAAGGTCAGGTAAACTTCTCCACACACACACAAGGTGGTGGGGCAAGGGCCAAGCGACCCTCGCGTCTCCACGTCTAGACGACAGGAGCCCCACGGCATTCAAAGTGCAAGGCCCAGTGCGCGTGGGTGAGCGGTGTGTGTGTGTGTGTGTGCGTGTGTGCGTGCGTGCGTGCGTGCGTGCGTGCGTGTGCGTGTGTGTGTGGGGGGGGTGCGTGCGTTTGTGCGTGTGTGTATGCCTGGGGCGGCGTCGCCGAGAGCAGCGCCTCGTCAAGGATCAACGGCGCGGCCTTGGGGGGCGCCGCCGCCGCCGCCGGCTCGCCGCGAAAGGCCGAGAGCATGCCGCTCTCACTCGCGGAGGAGGAGGCCGCCGTCGGCATCGGCGGCATGCCGACGAAGGAGCGGATCGAGGGCTGGCGCAGCGCGAGCCTGCGTGCTGGAATACGCCAGCCTCGGGGCGGGAGGACACGTCTACTGCAGGGTGTTCAGAGCACCGCGTGAGTACGAGGGGTGCGAGCGCAGCGGAATACGCTACGAGCACGGCGGAGCACGTGCCCTCTCGAGC